ATGCTTTGAGACCTGATATAAAATCAGGTTGGAAAATCTCTAGCTGTCTTCACAAATCACAGAATACTTTTTGTTGGAGGAGACTTGACTACACAAACGTTGTCTTTGGGGTTTACTGATTTCTGTCACTTTGCAGGCACAGTGAGATAAGTGATGAAGGATTAAGACAGGCTTTCAGTGAACAGTTGCAAGGTTCATATCCTAAAAAGGCTCATGTCTTTTGTTTGAATGAAGGCACTCTCATTTAGTCAGGAATTCTGCATGCTTTGAACGCTCAAGCACTGTCCTTCATATTAGAGAGCTAAGCCATGGGATGCAGAGGGCAGGTAATTGGATCTTGCCTGAAGATGAGACATGTGGGTGAGCTGGCGGGGAGGCTGGAGAAGGAGCATAGTAATCCTGACATCTCTGCTATAAGGCATCTTGAAGTCCACCCTAACTCACCATACATCACTACTACTTGCATAAAACTGCAATGCTAATCAAGCATTTGGAATTAAATTGTAATTAATCTAAGCAGGCACTGTGCACATACTCTGAGCCATACCCTGGATTCTCGAAAATACTTATCTCAGCATTCTTACTGGCAACTGAAGATTTCCTTACAAGAAGATATTGATTTAATAAAATATATTGGTCCTGTAAACAGCAGCTTTTACCAGCCTTCACTGGTCAGGATGTTTCCCCTCCCTTTCACAGGTTATTCAAAGCAGTCTTCCACCACAGGCTATAGGATACGGGAAATGACTTGGTACCTTTTCAGAAAAGAATAACTCATTCATTCAGGCTGGCAAATATACAGGGAATAACAGTTTATTGTACCTGATACATATTTGTTGGACTGTGCACAAGGATGAGATGCTGAAATATAATGGCCTGTGATATACAGCAGGTCAGGCTAAACGATCTAATGGTCTCTTCTGAATACATGAATTGCTGGGCTGTGTGCCAGAAGCCAGACAGACTCCTGGTGTTCCCACAAGTCCCCATATTCATCTATCCTTGCCCTCCTGAACTCTGTGGTGAAACTCCCATTTGCATCATTTAGAGCAGGATATTGATGTGGGTAGTTAATGCTAAAATGAAAAGTACAACAAACTTTATTGGGAACCTCTGAAGTGCTGGATAATGGAGGCACAGCTAAGGCTAAATAGGTCCCAAATCCTGCTAAACTAGAAAGTTCACTCTAAAGGACTTAGGCTCCGTGGGATCAGTGCCCTTGGTTTTTACTTCTCAACTGCCAGTTCCTGGCAGCTCTCTGGCATGGGACTGCCAGCTACATCTTGTACTCCGCAGTGCCCTGCTGAGCAGGGCGCCTCCGCACTGCTTCGAGGGGCCTCCCTTGACATTGCTCTTTGGCACTGAATAGTATTTGCATCGCAAGCTGCAGTTTCAAATTGCAACCCAGTTGATCCCTGAATCCCTGGCAGTATCGTTGTCTTCTCCTGCCACCCTGCTCTTGCACCAGCGCTGCTGCTCATCTGGATCCACAGTCAGACAAGTTAGTTATAGTCAGAAAAGTATTCACTTTTGCTCCAACAATATAGGTCTTGTGTCAGCTCACCTTAGGATTAGACTCGTGCCAAGGCTGGCACAAGGAAAACAGCAGAAATATATGACTGAGAAATAGGAACAGGATTGCCCCATTTGGAAAACTGTGAGATGAAACTATGTTTTCAGGGAGGCAAGTTAGTGGTGAAATTCTGTGCAGCAAGGTTCATGGTAAAAGCAGTGTCCCAGGCTGCATTCAACTTACTTGTATCACCTAGTTTCCTAACTTCTAATGAGCTTTTCAGAGTTGGACTTGACTTTATTCATTAATGTATAGGGAAGGAGGTAGGCTCATTATTGACTTCAGTATTTTTCTCCACCAGAAGCCCTGGTGCTAATGGTGCCAGTCCTGTCATTGATCAGATGTACACTGAATACAAAATTTCAGCTTTGTATGATTAGCTTCAGACTACTGTGGTGCAATCTCCCTTCTCTTCTGGAGAAAGTGCTGTGACAAGCTAAGAACTTTTTATCAGGCATATCTTTTTATAGAAAGCTGTTGTAAAACACAGGTGGTTTCCAAACGTGTACTATCCTGGAAGCTGGTGGGAAGAAGAAGCAGTTTTCTCTACCCACTTTGATGAGATAGGAGCACACAACAGTTTAGGCTGGAAGAGATCTTTGGAGGGGTCTGGTCCAACCCTTTTCTCAAAGCAGGGCTGACTTAATCAGGTTGCTCAGGACCTTATTACCTGGAGATTCTGCAGCCTCCCTGGTCCCCTTTTTGAATATTTCACCACCACCATGGTGATTTCCCCCCTTACATTGAGTAGGCATTTCTCACATTGCCTGTTGTGCTTTCACTGTGCCTGTCCAAGAAGAGTCTTGATCCATCTTCTTTATACTCTCCAATTAAGTTGCTGAAGGCAGCAATGAGAATCCCATTTAGCTTTCTCTTTTTAAGGCTGAACAAACCTGATTCTTTCAGTCTGTCCTTGTAGGGATTTTTTTTTAGAGATATTCAGGAAACAGTAAGCCAGACTTCAGACTGTCCAATGTGCTTCACGGAAAAACTTCAGTTTTAGTGAACATTTCTGATTCACTTAGTACCTCTGTTTTCCCAGAATCAACATCAGTGACACTGATTTGTAAATTTTTAAGAAATTTATAAAATTTGTAATTTAAATTTTTAATTCAAATGCCCTTCCCTATCTTTTAGATATTTTTTTTCTGACAAGTGTTTGAGAAGAAACACTGTTTTATTCTGTATAAAGTAGCAGTTACAGTGTGCTGGGAAGATGAGCATTTCCCCTGTTTATGCTGTTTGGAAGACTTTGGTCAGGAGAGAAATTACTTTTGGTTTCTGCTGTTTTTTTTATTTCCAACAGAAGACTTGAGACACTGATAATCTGAGGAGATGAGACTGCTGAGGCATGTTAGGTCTTTGCCAGCTGTTTCTTCTGCAGTTGCTGCCAGGGCTGGGCTCCGCTCTGACTCAAGTCACAGTAACAGATAGTTCAAGTTTTGCCGTTGTTTTCTAACTTGACAAATGTTAAAAGGCTTGACCTCATGTGACACAGCAGAAATATCTGAATTGCTACTATGATTCACTTTCAGATATTGTGTTTTTTTCCTCCTGAAAACATTTGATAAGCCATTCTCTCCAGATCTGTTCACACTGACTCGAATCCCTCCGGCTAAGAGCTTAAGATTTTTACCTGGTTCCAGGGCTTGTACACACAAACATTTATTCTCTTGATTCTCTGCTTTTTTTTTTACCCTCAGTTGTCCATTGTTTACTGGATCTTATTTTTCTTGGGAGCCATATATACTGGTGCAGCAGGATGATGGATTGACACCTCATCCACAGCTTAACTCAGATTTTTTTGCCACTACTTTTCCCTTTCATTCGGTGAAATAAATATTGTGAATGCTAGTTCTGTTTGAGCTGGGCATAAGGTAGCTGCAAAAACGGTCACTGTCCATAATACTTTGGGTTTTTCAGCCTTTTATATGGAAAGATATATTTATTTGTATGTGCAGAAAGGTAACGTTTCACTTAAATAAATGAATAATCGTATATTTTATAGTACTCATGATGGTCTTCTAAGACAGAAAAAAAATCTGCTATACTGAATAAAAAATGATAGTGCTGAGCAATGCTTTGGTAGAAATAACACATATCAATCTTGTATTTTCCTAAACTGAAACATGTGTTTCCCACAGCACCTAAGGGACTTAGGAGCACAAGACACATTGAACATCTCACAGTCCATTTAATCAAGTTAATTCCAGACCTAACTCAATAACTAAAGGCAGTTGCAATGGAGAGAAGTTTCCCACGTGTTAAAAAGTACTTGAAAAAAATTGGAGTGGCTCCAGTGCTGGGTAGAGCTGTGAGTTTTGTTTTTCAGTCTCTTTGCTTGCTGCAGAAGTTAGCTTTGCAGGTATTTTTAGGCACAAACTCAGGCTAAATGTGGACTTGTGTGATAGAGTGCTTTAATGAGATAAAGTACACTTCAGATATAAGCTGAGGCTCTCTGCTGTTGAGGCAGTCACTCATTTCTGGCCGTGCATGTTGGCTTTGGCATTCAGTAGTCCCTTGCTGGGGTAATTTGACTTGCTCAGCTACAAGAAAAGTAACTTCCCCCACCAAAGTGTGTAATATTCTACCAAATTAATGAGTTCAATTACCTCATAAAAATGCCTGAGAAGCATGAAAGCCGGTGCAAGGAATGAAGCTGGAAGAGGTGTCTGGTGTGGGGGCAAGGGAGCATACGGAAAGGTGGGATGGAGGTGCAGATCCACTCCTTCGGGTAGCAGCAAGCTGTTAGGTCAGCTTGCACTCAAACTTTGGTCAAGCAGGACTTGCCTCTCATTTTTTCTTTTGCCAGGTTTCTGCCTTGAAAGGGACAACAAAATTGGTATGTGCATGAAGTTTGCAGTTTCATGTAGGCACAAAAGACTGTTTTATTAGTTGTTTCATAGTGACGTTTATATAACTTTCTTTTCCTTACAAAATCTCTGAAGACATCTTCACCCTTCCCCTGCAACCAGACCTACAGGCAAGACTGTTGCTGTGCATTACCGTTTTATTACGTATGATCTTTCTGTAGCAAACATCAGTATTAATATTTGAATAGCGATCCATCATATCTCTCCAACAAATAAAGCACAAATGATCTCACTCTGATCTTGTTTACCCTGGGATAAAGCAGGAGTAATTTCACTGGATGCAAGCATTACACCAGTGTAAAGTTTCTGGAGCTAGATGAAAACTGGGAATGGCAAAGAGTAACTGTATAATAAAAAAAATCACCAGGTCATCCTTTGAATGTAAAATATTAAAAGGGTCTATTGTTGACACAAAATTTTTAGATAATGAGTGTGCGCGCTTGGTGGCTCCCCTGCCTCCGTCAGTGTGACACATATTTGAGAGGATCTTGCTCAGTCTGCGCACTGGATTAGAAATCAGCTGTCATTAAGGAGTGTTTCGCAGCGTAAAAGGTTCCTGGGTATGATGGTGTGCACGAGAGGCAGCCGTGGGGATTAAGCTGGCTGGTAACAAGCATTTCTATTTACCAGTCTGGTTAACTTCAGATCAGCCTTCTAAACATTTCCATGGAAACAAGGGAAGTTTTGGTTCACTGTAAGTGGCTTAATTTACTTTCTAACTATATTAAAAATAGAATACTAAACAGAGACAAAACTAACTCTGAAACATGTTTTTGATAATATGATTTTAATCAGTCATGTCATTCAGTGATTGCTTTTCCATACCCCGTGCCTGCAGTTATGGGTGAAGCTTTCGTTGAGCAGTTGCTCCTTGAATCTGCAATGGCATGATCAAAATAAGTCAGGAAAAGAACTGTGGAATAGATGAGGGTCTTAAATCTTTATTTTTGGTAGAAAACTATTCAATGTCTTTGTGAGTTTTCCTGGTTTTTTACAAGGCAAGAAACTTGAGAGTTTGGAATGTGCTTACATCCTGGAAGCTTCTTATATATCTACTATTTTACTGAAATGTCACGTGTAAATTTTGGTATGACAGAATAGTCACTTGTCCAGTCAAAGAGAGAAAAGACATATTGATGTACTCATAGAGAAATGTACTAAAAATGTGTTTTCATTTTGCATCGACATCTTTCAAGTCACATTATAGAAAACTAGTTGTAAGCAGATTTTTTCTTGGATTTATAGGAAGAAGTACAGATTTCTGTACAAATAAAGGTGCAATGGAGTGGAAACATCCTAAACATGTTGTAAAACAGCAAAGTGAGGGGAACTGTAAGCAGGCTCAGGCTGGTGAGGTTCTTGGTCAAAGTGCCTCTCTGTCTCTCAGGATGTGTGCACCCAAAGATGAATTGTTCCTATGACTCAGGAGGTGTTTTCCAGTAGAAGTAATTCTTACTCCTTTAATGTTGATAATTCGTAAGTGTATGAACTGTTTGAACAAAACCAGCTTTAATTATGCATGAATGCTGATCCGTCTGGAAATCAATTTGACTGACTCACACTCAAAATTTAGCATTGTTCTCTGAATTTTGATAACTGAGTTTTTATCTTAAGTTATATTCTTAGAGCAGTCAGAGGCAGCAGGGAAATTGGCCTTGATGTTTATCTGAGCATTGGAAATGAGTATAGCTTTGCATTTATAACACCAGGGAGGAGACTTTCCTTCCCCCTGCAGCATGGAGCTAACAGTGCCGTCCGTGTTAATGCTCAAGTCCTCACAGTGCACTTGTGCAGCTGCAAAGTGGTAAGGTCACCAATTTACATATGGGAAACAGAGACAGAAATACTCCATGGTTTGTTCTATGTCACAAAGGCTTTTTGCAGTTGAGGGAATTAAGTTCATGTTACCTGAAAGCTTGATCTCAAACTTAACTTTTCATATCTTTTCCGTTACTCATCACTTTCATTCACGATGGGTGAGCTTCGTCTATCTGGTCTACCTAAAGAAGCAACAAAGTGTCATCTGCTAAACTCTGGGGCATTCTGATAATAAATCGTAACTAAGAATTTCTGTTTCTATGGAAAACACAGTCAGCCGTAGTTATTAAAACATGCTGTAACAGGTGTCTGGCCTTCCGGCTCTGTTCCATACCTCCCTGGACAGGAATGCGTGCAGCTGACTGCAAGCAGCTGTGTGTGCGCTTGGAGAACTCTGTCTGACGCCTGCAGCTCTGCAAGTGGCTTCCATCAACAGCGGCAGTGGGCAGAGAAATGCAAAGACAATGTGACCGAAATACACTCGTAGGTAACTATAGTACTTGGAAGAAAACCGTGAGAAAACATTGGCAGCGTGGTGGTGTTATTCTAAGGTAGAAAACCTGAACAAACTGGACTCTGGTCCTGCTGACGTATGCTTAAAAGTGAGCATGGAGTATAATGCTTTAAAATGTTTTGAGTTTTTGTATAAAGTCTCCTCGAGCACCTGGAGTCAGGCAAAATAGTAGAAGGAGATTAAGTTTCATATGAAACAAAATGTAGGATGCTTGTCCTCGTGAGTGCAAAGAAAAGGCTTCCAAACAGGAATGCAATGTAGAAAAAATCTCAGAAACCAGAAATCAGTAGTGTGCAATGACACTGTGAGTATCCCCAGATGGGACCATTCATGTGTTTAAAATACACAAGCTTACAGGCTGAGACCCATAATTTTTTAATAATACCCTCTTCCCTTCTCACCACAGAACATAATTTCTCATTTTTAACATGTGTTGCCATAGTGACTTGTTTCTCTGTTAAAGTCTCTTTATGTCCTTAAAAACTGAGGTCCTAAGCCTTCCCTGATAAGTGTGGGGGTTTGGGCTGGGGATAGAATGAAAATGATTTTCTGTGTACTGCAGTCATTTGAGTAGTGCTGCTGAGGTACAGAGAGAGATCATAAGTTTTCATTATTAAATTGTATCAGGAGCAAAGCAAGCTAAGGAAATATTTTGAGTAGAACAACAGAGCACTGGAAAATTATAATGGTCCTCGAATAGTTTAGAAATAGAGAAAACAACTGGGGAAGGTTTAAAATGTGTGGGTTTTTTCTGTGTCAACAACAGGTGTGAGAAAAATGCAAGTCAGTCAGAATCTTGACAATGGATTTTGGAGGCTCTTGCAATTTTAATTATATCCGGGTATCTCAGGCAGAGGCTGACTGTGAAACTATTATATAGAAATATGAAGTATATTAAGCTCCAAGGAAAATGATACTGTCACAGAAGTTGCTGCAAAGAGGGTTTTCTTCGAGGGTTTTCTTCCTACTCATGCAGGCCATAAGGTAACAACAGGAGCAATAAATAGACCTGAGGGCTTTTCTGTATGGGCAACAGGCAAATTTGCAATCCATTCAGTGAAGAGATGGAGCTGATGTTACTTTTAAGTTGAACACAGGTGAACCTGCAAACATGGTGGAATAACGAAAAAAGAGCCAAGACTTCAATCACAGAATTACAGACTCACAGAATGGTTGGGGTTGGAAGATCTGGAGATCATCTAGTCCAACCCCCCTGCCAAAGCAGGGTCATCTACAGCAGGATGCACTGCAATGGAGGTGCACAAAGAGTAGTTGGGTACTGGTTTGTGATCTCCTTCCAGCATGACCCTCTAAGTGTCCGTAGTCTTCAGAGGGCTTTGTGGGGTCCAACGCCATGAGCAGAAGCTGAATGGGGGGACCTCAGTAATGGTGAGGTCTGCTACTTCACCTTGTCCTCTCGTGGCTCTGGGCAGCTCAACATGGGGGACCATCTGCCAGCTCCTTGGAGACCTTTGAGGAACAGGAGGTGCTTTATCCAATGTCTGCACTCTCGTCTCCCACCAGCCCATTTTTGAGCCTGGAATCTGAACTCTTCCCTTCCCCCCCCCCGTAGTTTCCGCTTAGTTTCCGCTGGTATTAATTATTCTTTCCCTCATGGTTTCTTTTCTATTTATCCTTCCTAGAAGGGCTTGGAGGTTTTTCTCTGTGAGAAAAATATCCACCAGATTTGCTAGTCATTTGTAACCAAGCAAACTGCTGGTTAGTCCTCATTGTTGATCAAATCACTAGATTATCCACAAATAAACAGAAGACTGAAACATCTCTCTTTTACAAATTGGTGTCTTGGATTTTCTCTACTACTGGAATTAACTTGTGATGGCAATTATCGTTCCACTTAAAAATGATTAGGTTTATCTTCTACTTAGAAAATATAAATTAGGCGGTTCTCTTTGACGAGATATTCTCAGGAGCACGGGGATGCTAAACTCACTGGTATTGAGAAGATTTCCTATTTATTAGTTTAAAAACTGCTTCTGTAATCTGTCTAGGAATATCTGGGGAAAAAGAACAATTTATGCTTATAGAAAACCATATATTTCATTTTCTAACAAAATGTATCATTTAATTCTAATTGATCTTAAGCATGAATTTCACAAGCAGGAATACCAGTGCTTTGTTTCCTTTTTCTTTTTCATTTAAAAAGGCCTTTGTTGTAGGCCCTTGTCATCAAATGGAAAAACAGCTCTTCCAATTTCCTACTCCCAGTATCAAACATACTTAATTGTACAGGTCCCTGAATAGGTACAAAGTAAGCTGCTACAAAAGCTGAAAGTCTTGTTCAGATACTTCAAAGATTTCTTTCAAAATTTTTTTAAATGTTTTGAGGGCTTCTTTAATACAAGAGTAACCTCTGGCAAAAATTATTAATCTTTGATTTACATTCCTCATTTAATTTGCATTCCTTTTCTAAGTTACCAATTTCTAATTTCATTTTTCAATTTGAATCTCTGAAATAGAGATATGGGGCCAGACTCTTAGCTGATGTAAACTGACTTGTGTTAGTTCCCAACATCTGGGAATCTGGCTTCTTACATCTATAGATTTTCCCAAGTGAGATATTATTGTTTTCATTCTAGAACTTCATTTTCAGTTGCATTAGTAACATCTGGCATTAACTTCATCTTGCTGTGACAGGCAATTGCTAGTTCTGAATGCAGCTGTGAACAAGCACAATATTGTTCACTTCAGTTGAGCTACGTTTGCTTTTAGCATGGCAAACTGTCAGCAGAGAGTTCAAAAAATGATTTAGATTTAACGTTAATGAGGTGATGCTCTGTATTGCTTCACAGCTGTGGTCTTTTCAGACAGTATTAGGAAGCTCCTACCTTCTCCACTTGTGTTTGCAAATCCTATAAAGCAAAACAGCCCATCCTTCCTTCCTCTGAAAGAATGGACTGATGCCAAGAAATAATGAACTAATATAAATCTGACAAATATGGAAAATCTTCTCACTGGTGGTCTGTCTCTATTAACCATTAATCCTAATGGTCTCTGCTGGCAGATATGGATGAATGTCCCTTTAAAAGGCATGACTGTACTCAGAAAAATTGTCTTGGCGAAAAAATCAGCCAGCAACCCTTCTTCATAGTTCCAATTTTTGTATGTTGAGTCACATCTGCCAATTGTAATGCCAATATATTTTTGTCTTAGTGGTCCTGCTGAGCTGGAAACACTTTGAGAGAGGGAACGGAGTTCTAGTCCTTTCCATGTGCTGTTAGTGGAATATTTTACTAACCGTCAGGTGTGAGGCCAAGCGTTGCATCTGGAAATAGACGTTGATGGCATCACTGACTTTGTTACTCTAAGAGCTTTTACACCTGGTTGGAGGAGTTATTATGGAA